CACAATGCTATCAGCGCTCAACAACAGCGAATGAAGACGCCTCAAATGTTCAAGCTCCATAGGAGGTGCCTGATGTGTTGGTCCCTTCTCACGTTTCTCTATGGCTGCAAAACCTTGCAGCCTCCTAGATTCCAGGATGTTGTCGGCACCTTGCAATGCTATTGTGAACTTTGTGAACCTCACCGTCTCAAGAAAAGTGGCAGGTCCTGTGTACCCACGTGCATCACGGATTCTAGATTCTCTCAAGTGCCTGAAGTAGCTCCAAACGTCTGGCTCATGCAGCGGTATTGCATCAACACTGAAACCTCTCTCAAAGTAATGGTCTCTGTGCCAAAGAATGAAACGTTTCAAACTTCCTGCACGCTTGAGCAAAGTAGAATAACTTTTTGTACCAAAACAAGCCTTGAGGGTTTCGTTCGCCATCTCACCAGTCGGATCACTCCTGAGGTCTTCACAAACCTGTTGGCCAATGGCAGATGCACTCCAGTTTATGGAAAGAATATCAAGCCACTTTGCACAAGCCAAATCTGTCTGCTGTCGTTTGTTTTCAAAGTAGTCCAGGTCCTGAATGTCCTTCACTGCACTCAGAAAAGCAGCATCTGCACAAGCTTCAACTTCTCCGCTGACCGAGATTTGATTTCTATCTTCATTCTTAGTTGCAGGCAATTCCAAAGCTATACCATGCACTTGTGGTAAGTTGAGGCCCAGACTGTTGTGAAAGATTCCCTGCATTGAAGGTTGTTCCCACGGAAGCTTCATGGCAGGGTCCAAAGCTTTGTGACGTTCAAAGGCATGATTCACAGTCAGTGCCCAATCAGTTTTGTCAACAATGCACGCATTCGTACCTGTATTGAAATCAAAACTCTCCTGAGCAGTTCGATCGATGACCTCAACTCCATCGTCATGAGCCTCATCCAGCGGGTCGGCATCTAAAACTGAATCTGGGGACTGTTGGCGTGCCAGGTCCTGAGACATGTTGCCAGCTAAACCTGAAGCAAACGAGTTCAAATGTTCAATATCCTCCTGAAAGGAAAAATCTAAATCTTCCAAATGCAACGGGTCAAGTTCAGGCAGCACTTCATCGTCCTCTACCTCATCAACTTCAATCAAATCCATGGCACACCCCCCACTCTGCTTTTCAGAGCATTGACCGTTCGGTCAGCGGAGCCCGCCACACCCT